AAAAAAAAAAAAAAAAAAAAAAAAAACTGGTTAGAGTGACTATATCCACAGATCAATAAATAAATATGCCAATTACAATTTTTTAAATATTAGGTTGAACAATCAAAGTGCTGATTTTCAACAGGAGTGAGATGCAGAAAGAGATGCCACTCAGCTGAGCAGCCTCACCCCTATTTTGGCTACTGCAGGGAGGGGAAGGGTTCCAGGGAAACAGACATGACTAAAAAGAAAACCCACAGGCAATGAACACGAGTCAACCCCAACCTTCCTTCACTAACACAATGATCCCCATGGTCAGCATGAGAGAGAAAAGCCAAAAAGAAAATGGGAAGAGATAGGCAGGAAAGCCTACGTTCTAATTAGTATACTTAGAGACACTTAAGAACTGCATCCACAAAATAAGACTAGACAGCTATGAAAAAGAGAGAACAGAGAACAAGGTATCTTAGAAATTAGAAACATGATGGCCAACACTAAAAATTCACTAGAATAATAACAAGGATGTAGCTGAATGCCCAAAGAATGATGTGAAGGAGAACTGCGGGGTTGGCCAATGCGGACTGGCTGATGGCCACAACTGCAAATGTTTTACAGATGAATATCTGCCACCAATTCGATAAAGGGAATCACCAACTTTGAACACTGATTAAGCAAAATATTAGCCCCCAAAAAGAATTCCATTCTCAGTAGAACCATATTACAAAAAATTGTACTCAATTATTATACTTTGAATTTCATCAATAAAAAACTTACAAAAATTTGCTTTCTCTCTTATTTAAGTACCTACTTAATGTCCTCAATTTTGCTCCTTGGCCCACACAGCCTAAAATATGTATTACCTGGTCCTTTACATGAAGTTTGCCAACCCTCTCCTAGAACATAAAGTGAAACGATAAAAAGTTTAATGTGAGAAAAATTAAAGGCCACAGAAGCTAGGTCCATCAAGTCTAACAGTTTCCTAAAAAGACAATAAGAGCAGGCAGAATCAAAGAGGGACACAAATATCAGAAGACAACAATAATGCACTCAACTCTATGGACAGAAAAAGCACACTAGTAAGTGGGCCGAATGTAGGCTGGGCATGGTGGCTCACACCTGTAATACCAGCACTTTGGGAGGCCAAGGTAGGTGGATCATGAGGTCAGTAGTTCGAGACCAGCCTGGCCAAGATGATGAAATCCCTGTCTCTACTAAAAATACAAAAATTAGCCAGGTGTGGTGGCAGGCACCTGTAATCCCAGCTACTTGGGAGGCTGAGGCAAGAGAATCCTTGAACCCAGGAGGCAGAGGTTGCAGTGAGTCGAGGTCGTGCCACTGCACTCTAGACTAGGTGACAAAGCAAGACTCTATCTCAAAA